ATACCAGAAGTTTGGGACAGGGTCCTTCTCGAAGCTCTACATGTAGATCGACATGAGACTTTCTTTGATCCAGATCATTGTCAAATTCGACAGCAAGAACACAGTGACCACGTACTACGATGACTGAGAAGGTTACGGGGCAGAGCGTTGGCATTGATCTGGGCACGACTTACTCGTGTGTGGGCGTGTGGCAGAACGACCGCGTGGAGATCATTGCCAACGACCAGGGCAACCGCACGACCCCGTCGTACGTGGCGTTCACCGACACGGAGCGTCTTATCGGCGATGCTGCCAAGAACCAGGTGGCTATGAACGCACACAACACGGTGTTTGATGTCAAGCGGTTGATCGGGCGCAAGTTCACCGATCCAGAAGTGCAGTCGGACATCAAGCACTGGCCGTTCAAGGTAGTTCGTGGTGCTGAGAACAAACCTCAACTGGTGGTGCAGTTCAAGGGCGAGTCGAAGACGTTCCAACCGGAGGAGATTTCGTCTATGGTGTTGATCAAGATGCGAGAGGTGGCCGAGGCATTCATTGGCAAACATGTGAAGAACGCGGTGGTGACGGTCCCGGCCTACTTCAACGACTCGCAGCGCCAAGCGACTAAAGATGCGGGAGCTATTGCTGGTTTGAATGTGCTGCGTATCATCAACGAGCCGACGGCCGCTGCGATCGCCTATGGGCTGGACAAGAAAGGAGGTGAGCACAACGTGCTGATCTTCGATCTCGGCGGCGGAACGTTCGATGTCTCTCTGCTCACTATTGAAGAAGGCATCTTCGAGGTCAAGGCGACAGCGGGTGACACGCACTTGGGAGGTGAGGACTTCGACAACCGTCTGGTCGAGTATTTCGTACAGGAATTCAAGCGCAAGTACCGCAAGGATATGACAGTGAACCAGCGTGCGCTGCGTCGCCTGCGTACGGCGTGCGAACGCGCCAAGCGGACGTTGTCTACTTCGGCGCAGGCATACCTTGAGATTGACTCGCTACTGGATGGTATCGATTTCAACTCGACCATCACGCGTGCGCGGTTTGAAGATCTGTGCAGCGACTATTTCCGTAAGACGATGGAGCCGGTCGCGCAGGTTTTGCGTGACTCAAAGCTGTCCAAGAACCAGGTGGACGAGATCGTCCTGGTCGGCGGATCTACGCGCATCCCGAAGGTGCAGCAATTGCTGATGGGTTTCTTCAACGGCAAGGATCTGTTCAAGTCGATCAACCCGGACGAAGCCGTCGCGTACGGCGCCACGGTGCAGGCGGCGATACTGAGTGGCAATGAGTCATCGTCCAAGCTGCAAGACCTGCTACTGCTGGACGTCGCACCGTTGTCGTTGGGTTTGGAGACGGCCGGTGGAGTTATGACCAAGCTCATTCCACGCAACACTACAGTGCCTGCGAAGAAGACGCAGACGTTCTCGACGTACACTGATAACCAGCCGGGCGTGCTGATCCAAGTGTTCGAGGGCGAACGAACCATGACGCGTGATAACCATCTTCTGGGCAAGTTCAACCTGGACGGTATCCCGCCCATGCCGCGCGGTGTGCCTCAGATTGACGTGACGTTCGACGTTGATGTCAACGGCATTTTGAATGTGTCGGCTGTGGAGAAGTCGACGGGCAAGGAGAACAAGATCACGATCACGAACGATAAAGGTCGACTGTCGCAGTCCGAGATCGACCGCATGGTCGCCGACGCCGAGAAGTACAAGGACCAAGATGAACGCAATAAGTTGCGCATTGAGTCGAAGAACGCGTTGGAGAACTACGCGTTTTCTCTTCGGAACTCGACGCGCGAGGAAAAGTTGGCGGCAAAGCTGAGTGCAGAGGACAAGAAGACCATTGAGGACAAGGTGGCGGA